ACAGTGTGACAGAACGGGATTAGTACGGATTCATGTTTGCAGACTTTGTCAAAATACAGCAAAAACTCAGGCTTAATAATGGTAAAAAGAGAATTAACGATGGCCTTAGCTATATGTGCAAGTTGTCTCCTGGATGACATTACATTTTCAGCGTATAGAACCCCGTCGCAGTTCTGATGAAAACAGAAAAGCAAGCACCAACGTCAAACTCCGTCAATACCTCCCCGGTTAAAGCTACCCGGAAAACATCACTGAACAAAATGATGTCAGATTTGCCGTTATGCCATCTTTAAAGCCCCCGTCTACTCATGCCGATGTCACCAAGAAGTGTAATGGTATCCACTTCACAATGAAAAAGGTTCTTATTGGATGCACATGGGGGATTATTTAGGATAAAGTTCGGGTCTTTGTCCGTTCCAACCGAAATAGAGGATTTAGGCTTGACGCTCTTGGATGAAAAGTTATTGCGAACTGTTAAACAGGATGTAAAGTCTGGGGATTATGTAAATGCCGTCTTTCTGATTTTAGCCTTAGATTCTGGGTAGACCCTTGGGCGCCTTGTACAGAACCGCCGGATTTTAAGGAAATGTGAATGAACCCTGCCTTTATATTACTTCTTTGCATTAGCAGCTGCAAAGTGTCCCTGTGAGAGCTCCGTCAAAATTCGTAAGACATCGTTTTGTCTCAGTATGCTTAGCTACTCCATGTTGCAGCGAGTTGTCGGTGCCTGGGACAAACATCTCTAGACACAGTCTTAGCAGTTATAGCAGAACTAGTCAAGCACATAAAGTGGATGTCTATTTACCTGGAGGCGCCAATCAATTAAACAGGAAAGTGCCTTTGTGCTTGTCAAAACATTACTCATACTTATCCCTGATTAAGATATATGTACTCGTCATCACTAGCACATACAGGGCGCGCGGATACCAGTTTTCACTTTCTACATTTATCACATGTACAAGCACGATGTGCATATTCCCCTGTGAGGTTCCCAGTAGGGTGTCAAAGGGCATTGGTATTGGCTCTCATTTATGCTGAACTATAATTCACTGTAAGGCGAATATTACCTTGAACGACTGGTATGTTTCCATTGTTGTCTTACTGCTCTGAATCAGGATCTAAAATCCCACAACAAAGATTTCGGGTCAACACGTACTTCCAAGATCAAGAAATGTATATCTGCTGTAACTGCTCGTTTAAAAAGAAGTTGGTAGGCAGTCGTTATGACTGTGGTCTTGGATTTTCTAGTAAGCTGTAAAATATGATAAGCACTTCTAGATGAAAATTTTTATTTGTTATCTGGGTTATTTTCACCAGTAAATGTTCTCATTGACTTTTAGGAAGTGTCTCATCCTTACTAGTTCGGCATGAATACTACAGGGCAAAGTTCGATCTCATCCTCTGTTAAAACGTCTCCTATGAGATAGATGATTTTGAATCTTCTGCATGGGTGGGCAAACGTGACTTTGAAAATAAGTAAAGATTGAATTCCAGTAAACGTTTACTCTGATTGCAAATCATAAGAAGTAAATCTCAGGGCTGAATTTAAATAAATATGACGTGCTCAGGCT